AAAAAAAAAAAAAAAAAAAAAAAAAAAAAAAAAACATTTAGATCCTCTCATTAAACTAAATTTCATATCCAAGAGAGCTAATTAATCACTTACTTACAGTTTGACCTCTCTCAAAATTGCCTATTATTCCACAGAGACCTTGCCAAAATTAACATAGAGTTGTTACAACTAATAGGAATCCAATCATTTAATGACCAACAATGATTAGGGTTAAGTTATCAGCAATTGTTTTTGACCAAAGACAAACTGTGCACACGTGAATATGATATGAATAGGTTATTACTAAGAAAGAGATGGCAAAAGAGGATAAACTGATGAGAAAAGTTATATTCCTCTGCACGCGGCTGCCTACGCTTAGTATGCAAAGGTGACCATTCACGAGTAATACAGACAATAAATCGTACAGAGAGAAAAATGTAAATAACAGCATTAGAGTAGAAGCAGCAGTGAAAGAGAAGGCATTGGCATTTGACGTAAGGAATTAAGAGAGAGATGAAAAGGAGAAGGATGGAAGTAGAGTACCTTGAATGACGCAGGTAGCAAGCATACCGGAGACACCGCCATTAACAAAGGGCTTGACAGTGGGCCAAACAGCGGCGGACATGAGCTTCCAATCGGCAGCCATTGGTGAGAGCAGAGGAGGAAGCGGGAGTGGAGGATTCTCTTGTCGGGAAAACTAAAGGCCCAAACCGTTTCGTCCCTTTTCTTTCCCCATCCATCAATTATGCGCGCTATTACCATTACTCTATGCCTCTATTGTGTCTTATTATTTTTAATTCATTTCATTTTTTAGTATATAACAATTGGTTGATTCTGAATTGTATTTTTGTATTTAAAAAAAAAAAAGTGAAGAAATAAAAACAATAATAATAATAATAATTAAATAAATAAGAAAAAGTGAGGCCCCAGGCCTTCAGTATTACAACTCATGTAGCAGGTGAGCATCCAGTACAGCTATGCCCATGCATACTCATATAATTGATTGATTAATTATATACGACATAATTCAATTTAATCTTTTTAGGTATAAAAAAAATGTAGACAAATTTAATAAAAGATCTTAAAATAATATATAAAATTAGAGACTAAAATTCAAGCCCTAGTGAAATAAAATGAAATATATTATATCCAAAAACCAAGCTTACACACATCACATGGTCGCTCATCACTGGTTCCCTGGCGAAGGCGTTTTGTCACAACTACCCTCTTCATCTCCAAAAATTTCCATTTATGGGTTAGCTCGGAAGGGGTAAAATTGTCATAAGGTTTAATAAGATTGGAGGGAACGGGAGAGCGGGGGACCCATGGAAAGCCTGGCGCGCCTTCCCCTGTATTACAGTTGCGGATGCGAATCGGTTATCAAATCCGGTTTTGTTTCGCCATTAAAGCCTCTGCTTAAATCCGACACCAACTCCAACGTTGCTCTTCACTCTTCGCTCTATTCCTTGTTCCTACAACTCTCCGATCGCTGTCTCCGTTTTCTGTATTCACAGACGCAAGCTCACGTAGGGGAAGATGAGGGAGATCATAAGCATCCACATTGGACAGGCTGGGATTCAGGTCGGCAATTCTTGCTGGGAGCTCTATTGCCTCGAACATGGCATTCAGCCCGATGGTATGATGCCCAGGTACTGCTTTATCCATCTTCATCTCTCTACCCTTCCGCATTTCTATTCTTTCCCTTCTCATTCCCCGTCTTTAAAACTCGCTTTTGATTTTTTTTGTTTCCTACCGTTTCTGTTCTCTCTCATTTTGTGTCCTCGACGAATCTCGAAAGACTAAACACGTTCCTACCTTTGTCTTTAGTCTTGATCAAATTTGGGTATTTTGTGTGCTGCTTTGCATCGTATCTGAATCTGTTGTCTAATTTCTCATAGGGTCTTCTGGAGTTGATTCTTTTCTACAAATTTTTATAGCCCTAGGGACATTTTTCAAACGAATTCGACGACCAATTTGATATTTCGTTTATATTGGTGCCGAAGATTTATATGTGCGTGAAGAGTTAACCCTTGGCGGCAATTCTTTTTTCGTGTTTCGTTTTTCTTTTCACTTCTTGGGAGTCAAAATTAATTACATTAAACAATTTGAACTTCCGCTTTTTACCTATTAAATGAAAGCTTGTGTTTTCTTTTTCAGTGATACCTCCGAAGGTGTTGCACACGACGCTTTTAATACATTCTTTAGTGAGACCGGTTCAGGCAAGCATGTGCCTCGGGCTATATTTGTTGATTTAGAACCAACGGTGATTGATGAAGTTAGAACCGGAACCTACCGACAGCTCTTTCATCCGGAGCAATTGATATCTGGAAAAGAAGATGCTGCCAATAATTTTGCTCGAGGACACTACACAGGTGACTGCTGTTGATTTGTGGATTCTTAGTTGACCTTTTATTTTTTGTCACTCTGTTTGACGTACCTTTTATTTTATAGTTGGAAAGGAAATTGTAGATCTCTGTCTTGACCGGATCAGAAAACTGGCTGATAACTGTACCGGGTTACAAGGGTTTCTGGTCTTCAATGCTGTTGGCGGTGGCACTGGTTCTGGTTTGGGTTCATTGTTGCTCGAGCGTTTGTCAGTGGATTATGGGAAGAAATCAAAGCTTGGTTTCACCATCTACCCATCTCCTCAGGTACTGACGATTCAAATGTGAATTAACCAAAACATTTTGATTATTAAGAGGAAGAACCACTCGAATGGCCATTCTGGAATAATCAGGAAATTGTTGTTTGTCTCAACAATTTTGGGCTCTGATTCAATTGCAGGTTTCAACTGCTGTCGTGGAGCCTTACAACAGCGTTCTTTCCACTCATTCCCTTCTTGAGCATACGGATGTTGCTGTTCTTCTAGACAATGAAGCTATCTACGACATTTGTAGGAGATCTCTGGATATTGATAGACCTACATATACCAACTTGAATAGGTTGATATCTCAAATCATTTCATCCTTGACCACTTCATTGAGATTTGATGGAGCCATCAACGTGGACATAACAGAGTTCCAGACGAACCTTGTACCATATCCTCGTATCCATTTCATGCTCTCCTCATATGCTCCAGTTATCTCAGCAGAGAAGGCTTACCATGAACAGCTATCCGTACCTGAGATCACAAATGCAGTTTTTGAGCCTTCGAGCATGATGGCAAAATGTGATCCTAGGCATGGGAAATACATGGCTTGTTGCTTAATGTACCGAGGAGATGTTGTACCTAAAGATGTCAATGCTGCTGTTGCCACCATTAAGACAAAGCGCACCGTGCAGTTTGTTGACTGGTAAGTGGAAGAAATGTGTCTTGTTTATTTTGGGAAGTTTTAAAGCTTATCCAGGAAAATTAGGAGCCACTCTCAGTTGCCTCGGGGATAGTTTTTGGTAGTTCGTTTCTTATAGTAGCTTTTGAGAACTAATTTGTAGAATGATGGGGGTGACTTCTAAAAGTTGGATTATTATAGGTCGGGAATATGGAGATTACTAAGCTTCTGAAATAATCATTGACAAGCTGGTAGTAAAGGAAGAACAGCTTAGTTGATCTGTAAATATATAAACTAAAAAAAGACCATCAGAACTCGGGGAAAACAACCTTTAGAGAAAAGTAAATCTACCAAGTTCTGTCTCCCTTTCCCAATTAATAGATGAAATTTTTCTTGTCATATATCACGAAGAATAAGGAATTTGTTGATAGTGAGAGCACATTACTTCCAGGCATAGTCATCTCCATGTTCATTCTAGATTGGAGCAGGTTTAAGTTAAAGTTATCTTGGCGGATGCAAGATTTGGCCTCAAGGGCATTGTCATTTGAACATTAATTTGATTTTGGATTCTAGAAAAACTTGATAATGGATCTGTTTTGTAGGTGTCCAACTGGCTTCAAATGTGGTATAAACTACCAGCCTCCAACAGTTGTACCAGGTGGTGATTTGGCCTTGGTGCAGAGAGCTGTTTGCATGATCAGCAATAACACAGCAGTAGCTGAGGTGTTCTCTCGCATCGACCATAAATTTGACCTGATGTATGCAAAGAGAGCATTTGTTCACTGGTATGTCGGTGAGGGCATGGAAGAAGGGGAGTTCTCAGAGGCGCGTGAAGATCTGGCTGCTCTCGAGAAAGACTATGAAGAAGTTGGCGCTGAAGGTGCAGATGATGATGATGAGGAAGGTGAAGATTACTAAAGTGTGCATGGTACTATTATCCTGATAATTTCTTGTCTAGTTCAAAAGCCGGCCGTTTTCATTTCCATAAGCGAGTCTGTTTTGTCTTGGAGTTAATTTCCATTACGTATCTTTGTGGCTCTTTGTATGAAATCAGGAATATGTACGCCAGTGTTTCGACTGTAATTCTATCTTTGCTTGAGTTGTGGATGGATTGATATTGTAATAGACAATATCACAAGTTGTACATGTGTTTTTATAATATGAAAAAGTTGTACATGTATGAGCGCATTGGGTGCTGCCTGCTTGTTTGATTTTCTTTTGCCTTATCAGCTGCATTCAAATAGCGGTAGAAAGGGAATTAATTAAAGCGGGGTATAATCAACTTGGGCAGAATATCTGACCCACAGAATCAAAGGCATCATATGTAGTTCCTAAATATTCACTCATTCCATTCACTGCACACATAGGTATGGATGTTAGATCTAATTGCTCTGAATCACATGACATCTCTGCCACTTGTCTATCTTGGTGGGTCAGTAATGGATCAGGAGGCTCATCCATTTCCAAGTTCAACCCAAGAGGAAGATGCCACCACGAATGGCTGAACTGACGAAGACCCAGCACCTCAACTTCTCCACTGCAGGCGCTGCTCCAGTCTGCATTATCAAACGTCTTATGTATCTCTTGGTTTGTGGCAGTGGAGAAGGAGAGCCCAGAATGAGCACCCTCAATTTCAGTGATTGGACCGAGTTTGGTGGGGCTGGTTTTGGAGGAGCTTCGTTTCAAACTGATCTTTTGGTTGAGGAGATTTCTAATTTTGAAAGAGAGGGCGGGGGTGGATTTGAGATGGGTTGCGAAGTTGGTACGAGTATTGGCACCACGGAGGAGGCGGGCGGCTTCATCGTATGCTGTGGCAGCCTCTTCCGCTGTCTTGAAGGTTCCCAACCACATTCTGATATCATGGGTTGTGTCTTTGATCTCTGCCACCCATTTCCCAGAGGGCCTTTGTCTGACACCAACGAAGCTGCATCTACGAGATCTGTCCTTGCATTTCCCAACTTTGCTGCCTGAAACTGAAACCTCTTTATGCTGTTGTTTCTCAACTGAACCCTCCATCTGCATTGCAAAGTTTACGAATGGAATTGAGATTGAAGGAAGAAGTGATGGGCATTGGTTTTATAATGGCGGCATGAGGCATGAGGGCTTTAGGCTGTTAGCTGTTAGTGGTGTCCTCGTCTTTGTCTTCTTGTCAGCATGTCCGTTGATTTTATTTAATTATTGGGCTTATAAATGTAGTGCCCTTTTCGTCTGTATAATGGAAACCCAAATGGAGAATAATGAGTCATGACGGCAGTAAAGGGAGGAATTTGATGGGATGATTAACAGCTAATGGAAGGAGTTACCGACGTTGAATTTGAGGAGCCTGCGCCTACGCAGCCGCACGCCATACCATGAGTGGTCTGCAACTTCAGTTTGGAGTCCACTCTTCTTCCCTGGAAAAATCAAACAAACAAACACAACAAACTCGTGGAAGCACGACGTTAAGAATGAAAGTTTAATCGCAAAGTTGTCTGAACGTGCATTGTCTGACCTTGAGTCCACTTGTTTTATTTGCCCCAAAGCAATATCTACTAAGACTACGACAAGTCCAGGCATCCCTGTGTTACTTTTTTTCCACTCTCTAAGCAAGCCTTAAATAAATTTGAGTGAAATGTTCTTTTTTTTCTTTTCTTTTTTTTTTTTTTTTGGCTTCGAAAATTCTGTAATACAGACAGAGAAGAGGGAGACCAGGTAAAAGACGTCAAGTTTCTTTGCTAATTGGAAATAGAATTCAAAACAAATCAAGGAAACACAATCACGAAATTCATTTGATATATTCTGAAACTGCAATGAAAATTTATAACGACAATGATACTAGTTAATTGGACCAAAACAGAACTGTAAAAGATTGCCTCCGAGGCGACCTATCTCCCCGAAACTAGAAAAAAATCGTAACAAACCCACGTACTTAGAATTAAACGATGAAATATACACATTTTATTTAACACGAAGCAACGATGATTTTCACTATCATCAAATGACAGCATCTCTCTGCAAGGGACCAAACAAAACTCATGCTTGAGAGCATTTTTTGGCAAAGAATGGGGACGAATATAATTCAAACATAAACAAGAACAGAAAAGTGTGCCGCCCGGGGGCAGCGGCAGGATCCAGAGTCACCTTTGAGAGACTATGGGAGGATAGACTGCAAAGCAAGTTGGTGCTGGGGTTGCAAGTAGGACCAAGTTGAGGCTAAAGTGGAAGGCGGTAAACTCGGTTGCATCTGTCTCAACAAACTAGTCATTCGGCTAGCACTCTTCTCTGTTGCTACATCCTTTCCCGCACATAGAACCTGCACAAGTAAATACTCCCCTCGAGGAAAAAGAACGATGCACGAAGCATTGACCCAGGTTATCTAAACATGCACCAAGTAGCATCTCGCTGCTTATACAAAACAGATATAGGCAACGATCAACGACTTTGCACACAATTAATGTTGAAGGTCTCAAACCATCTTTTGGGCAGGATTAAAGAAAAACATTGAAAGCAACCACATTAGCATGTGTTTGGTTCTATTCAGCACAATCAATTGTCCGATCACATTTCTCAAATTGCTCTGAATATTAAATCCATTCGCTCTATGTAACAAAATCATAATGCAATAAAGAATACAGAATACAGTCAATCAAAGGGAGCAACTTACAGTAGTTCTCATCATGAAAATCATTTCCACCCACTCACTGAATTGGGTCATAAATGGCTCATTCTAAAATATGGCCAGCAAACACTACCCTAGATTCAATAACTACTCAAGAGATTGAGAGCACCCAGTTTAATGGTTAGAAGCAATTGTCGTTATCCTACCTCCCATTTTTATGTTCTCTTCCAGGCTTGTTACTGTTAAGTATGATCAATCGATTAAATACTAATTCCCAACTGACCTCGGCAAAAACTGCAACTATTTTGGGAAGATGTTGATTACTTGGACCCAAGAGTTCCATATCCGACCTGTATATATAAAATTAACTTAGTGCTATAATAGTTGGAATATAAGAAAGAAAATTCAAGTAAGAATTACAAGTACTACAATGGGGGAGGGAATATTGGCTCACAAACTTGCCTCTCCACCAAAGAACGAAGTTGGTCGAGCACAATTTTTGGTTCAACCCAGTCACCTTTTATTGGTAGGCAGTTTAACCATGGTGGAACAACCTGTCAAAACCGTACACAACTTATTGAGAATGAGAGACCACAATCAAGTATCCATTGAGTCCTGTAGAAATGTTGGGAGTAGTTTGTGATAAGCCTACTTGGAGCATGGATAGCAATAAAAGAAAAGAAATTGAGAATTTATTATCAGCATAAAGCAACTGAACAGGAGAAGTCCTAAGATAGTCAAGTTGCGTAAATTTACTCAACAGAAGTTCTAAAATAATCAAGTTGTGTACATTTACTCAGCAGAAGAAGTGAACATGCAATTCTTACTTGGGGCATTGCCCATACTCTCTCGGATAACAGCCAAGCTAGGGTCCTACACCTACAGTGTAAATAAATTTTTGGAAAAATTGAAGATTAGCTGAGCCGAATCAAAACTGCCGCTCCCTGGCTTCTGCAAGAGCGAACACAAATTCAATCGCCAAGTGCCTCGTTCCTTCGTCCAACGATTCAGCTTCTGCAATTTGCAGCATCAACCCCACTATATCCACTAATTGCCGCCTTAAGAACCTCGCCTCCGTCCCGGCCAATTCGATCAACAGTTCAAGTACCTCTTGCGCGGTTGCCTCCTGCCCGTTATCCAACGACTCCATTAGTGTCCGCGTCATCGGTCGCAGCAAATCCTGAAACCTGTCACGATCAGCAGAGTTGGACAAGCACTGTATGAAGCTGATAACAGCATTGAAGGACGCAATCTTCACATCGGTGCTTGGGGAGGCTGACGTCAAGCACTGCAAAAACACACCGTGCAAGTGCTTAATGTGGGGCACCAAGGTATCCCCAGTAGAATGCGAAAGCTGGGCAAAAATCAAGAAAGACGATTCCTGCAGCTTGAGGGAATCCGACGATACGCACTGAAACATGAACGGCAACCATTCTGGCCAGCCATTATCCGGCAAGATTCCGGAAGCCAGCTCGGAGACCGTATCACACAATTTCTTCGATATGGATTTGGAGTCCTCGCTTTGAATACATGAGAGGAGTATGGATTTGAGAGAGAACTGAGAGGAAGGATTTAGGCGAGGCCAGAGGTAGGAATAGTCGCGAGTTAGCTGCTTGCAGAGGAGAACAGCAGACATGGCACGGACCTCGGCTTGGGGAGAGAACTGAAGGAGATGAGCGAGCTTGAGAGAGAGAGAGAGAGAGAATCGGGATGGGTCTGCTTGCATAAATTGAAGACAAGTTGGGCCTGCGATATTGGTCGTTAGAGAGGACATAAGGTGGGAGAGAAGAGTTTGAAAAGGAGCACAAGGCAGAAGCTGGAAGAAGATGATAATTCTTAACAAAAGAAAGTTAGAAAATTTACCCTATTAGAAGGGAAGGTAGAAATAGGGATAAATAAATACATCTTTCATGGGAGATTTAGAATATATTCATTGGTCTAATGAATTTAAAATTTAATCTATTGATGATTCGAGGTCAAATTCAGTAACGCTAATGGGCGTGGGTTGTGAAAGGTGTATCGTGAATGGGTTTATTCCAAAAGTAAAAAGTTGACAATCCATTATTTATTCCCTTCTTTTTATATATTTCGAAGCTACGGACGGATGTGGGGGGGATGAGATCCCATTTTCGGCTGCATTCGCATCTCCCAACAACCGCAACCATTGAAGCCCTGTGATCCGATTCGTTCTCTTCCTGCAAATGGCGACGAGCTTCGTCCACTCTCACAGACCCGAGTTTCTCACCGTCGCCGTCGCTGCGGTTGCCATCGGCGTTGCTACTGCCTACTATTTCTATATCACCAAGAAATCTAAACCCCAAGGTTCTTATTCCTTCTCTTCCCCAATTCCTTCTACTCGGGCATTTTTGTTGTTTTGCTTGATTAAGATGCCGGGCTCCGGCTGTTGGATTTGGGAATACCTGGAATCATTTTTGCTGCTGATATCATCATTACCCTGCTGTTCGAGATGTTTCCGATTTTTACCGGGTTTTCTTTTTCTCTTTCTTATCTGTAGTTTCGTGTTATGCTAGGTTGCTTGGACCCTGATAACTTCAAAGAATTTAAGCTAGTTAAACGCAAACAGCTTAGCCATAATGTAGCGAAGTTCAGATTCTCTCTTCCGACGCCAACCTCAATCTTGGGGCTGCCGATTGGGCAGCATATGAGTTGCAGGTTTTATTCGATTTGATACTTCGTGGAGCAAAGATTTATCAATGGAATGTTAGGAGTCTTCAAACGATTTGTTGTTGTAAGTTATGATGTGCTTTTGTTCAGAGGAAAAGATAGCGAAGGTGAAGAAGTTGTGAAACCGTACACTCCAACCAGTTTGGATACAGATGTTGGATACTTTGATTTGGTCATAAAGGTATAGGCCTTGCCCTCCCAATGCGCAATAGCTTGCAGTTTTTCTTAGTGTGTTTAACCATCTGCCCAATTCTATCCATCCACCCATAACATTTGGTATTTTGGCATACAACTACTACAATATGCAGATGTATCCTCAAGGAAGGATGTCCCACCACTTTCGTGAGATGCGTGAAGGTGATTTCTTGGCGGTGAAAGGTCCTAAGGTATTGCCAATATGTCCTACAACTGCCACTACATTAGTAGAATTGAGATTTTCATTTTTTACTCTGTTAATTTGAACCTTGAACGGCTAACTCGGTCAGAGTGGATCTTAGTCTTGAGTATACCTTTTATTTTGTCAAGTGTTCGCATTCTTTTTGAAAGGTTTATGAGTGGTTATGAGTATTCGTATGGCTGGACTGGGTGTGAATATTTTGTGGCTGCTAGTTACTAAGATGGCGTTGGATGCTTTTTAGTTGTGTTTAAGCATTCTATTATTGAGTTTGAGGAGTTATTCTCTTTTGTTTGAATTGGTACGTTTACACAATTTTTTGGCTGGATTTTGGTTCTTTATTTGTTACTGTTGGGTGATTTATGGCTGGTTGAGTAATGTATATCGTTTGAGGAGGCATTGTTTTAACCACTCATCAAGTTTTAGAGTTTGAATTGGACGGAATAAAAAATTGAAGGCAAAGATTGACCGTTAAGGAAAAAAATCAGTCCTTTTGGGGGATTGGGATTCATAATAAAACATAAGGTTATATTAGAACTTCGAGGAGCGCATTGAACGGCCCAACTGTTTCTGGTCTCAAATTTTCTGTTTTGGAGGAGCGAGGTACTTAAAATATTTGATTTTTGACATTTGATGTGGGAAAATCTAAAACTGGGGCACGGGTTCTGGGGTCATATCTATTATTTATGGAGTGGGTCTCTGTTTGTGTGCGCGAGTGGTGACAGGGACGTTTCAAGTATGAAGCTAATGAAGTTGAGGCCTTTGGGATGCTTGCTGGAGGCACAGGCATAACTCCGATGTTCCAGGTATGGGTATAGGCATGGGCATGGGCTAAGTTTGAGCTTAAGTTTTGAGTAAGGATTGATTCGTATTTATTTTCTGTTTGTCCTATAAATAAGCAGATCCCATCAGCATTTCTGAACGTTTCTTTTTTGTGTTTTGAGGTTGCACGAGCAATACTAGAAAACCCAGTTGATCACACCAATGTGCATCTTATATACGCTAATGCTACTTATGAAGACATTCTTCTAAAGGTGCTCATTCTCCTCTCTTAAATTTGGATTTGGAAGGTACCCCACATTGAGATTTAGATATTGCCTTGCAAAACCGAACTGAAACCTTCTAGTTTACTGGTGTTTATAGGAAGAATTGGATAGTCTTGCGTCTAGGTTCCCCTCCCGCTTTTCTGTCTACTATGTGCTCGATCAGGTAACAACTTGGGGTTTTATAATTTTGGAAATATATTCTGCAGTTTCATGTCGTTTTACAATCTCTCTCTGCTCTGTACAGCCTCCTGAAGGATGGGATGGCGGCGTTGGCTTTGTGACTGAGGAAATGATACGACTACACTGTCCTGGACCATCCCCAAATGTTCGGGTGGGTATGCATGCTTTGCTTCATTCGTTTTTCTTTCTCTGTAAGAGAAAGTTTGTGCTAAAACCAGGCATTGTTCATTTTGCGACAGATATTGAGGTGCGGACCACCCCCCATGAACAAAGCTATGGCTGCTTACCTCAAAACTATTGGCTATACTTCCCAAATGCAGTTCCAGTTCTAATCCAACCAACCCCATTATTTACTCTCCTCTTTGCTTTACTTGCCCGATCTAATTCAATCTTCCCATCCCCATCCCAAAAGCAATTGAAGTAAATGTGTATGCAACAAACAATGATATGTTAAACCCAATATTTGGTATTGAACTTGATGTGATATGCAGACATACAGCTACTGGGTTCACATAAAAGAAAAGGTAAGGCAAGGAAAGAAGTTACAGAAAAGCAGCAATGCTGTCGCTCTCTCTGCTACCAACAATCCCACACTTTATGAGGCTCCCAATGGTGTTCCACATCAACTTTGCATCTTCCACTCTGTTTCCCTCTGCCAATTTCTTGTATAGATAGCTTTCGAAAGTCATTCTCTGCACATACTCGTTCCCACACATCTCCACCAATGCTTCCCTTCCGGCGTTGTCTCCATAGAACACTCTCTGCAACAGATCCAAGAACCTGAACGTCCCCACGTACTTGGCGTCCCACTCTCTCAGGTACTCTCTCTTCAGATCCCTTTCTCCGATCATCCTCTCCCCTCCTTCCGATGCTCTCACCACTGCCTCCCCGCACATTCTCCCGGATTTTGCAGCGAAATATATGCCTTCACCGGAACACTTCGTTACGTACCCTGCCGCGTCCCCGACCAGTGCCACCCGCCCTATCACTCGCCTAGCTCGCGGGTGCTCCGGTATTGGATGTGCCTCTACTTTAATCACCTTCCCTCCACTTATCTTACTCTTTGCCCTTTCCCTGATTCCTCTTTGGTACTGCTTTATGTCTTGCTTCGAGCACACCGTCCCCGTTCCCACCGCCACATGGTCGCACTTTGGAAATACCCACGCGTAGAAGTCCGGCGACACGTCGTTCCCTACGTACATTTCCGCCAGATTCTCGTAGTACTCCATTTTCTCCTCTGGCAATTTGATTCTCTCTTGGAACGCGATCGCGCACGTATAACCTCCGGCGTCTATCGACTTTGCCACTCGGCTATTGGCGCCGTCCGCGCCGATCACCACATCCACGGCCAAGGATCGCATAGAGTTTTCGGTTGTGTAATGCACGACGTACGGTGCGTTAGAGGAGGCAGGGACCTCGAGATTCAGCACGAGTCCGTGGATGATATTAGCGCCGATGGACTGGGCGCGGGCGCGGAGGAAGGAATCAAGCACTTCGCGGCGCAGCATGGGTATGAACTCATGGGCTTTCAAGGTTTTTCCGAAGTCGACGGCGATATTCGAAGGGGAGATGATTTTCATACGAGTAACATGGCGATCTATGAGATGAGCAGGGATGTCAAACTCGCTAAGCATGCAGAGAGGAAGAGCGCCGCCGCAGGGCTTGGCAGACGATGGGCTGCGCTCGAACAGGTAAGTCTCGACGCCACCAGCTGCCAGAGCTTCGGCGGCAGAAGATCCCGCAGGGCCACCGCCGATGACGGCCGCTCGGAGCTTGCGGCCGAGGAGAGGTGCAGTGTGGGATTTAGAGGAGGCGATGACAAGGGATGGGGAGCGTGAGGAGGAGGGAGAGCGTGTTGTAGCTACTGGAGAAAGGGGGGAGAATACCTGGAGGCATTGGAATTGGAGCGCCATTGAAGGGAGAAAGATCTGGAAATGAAGGCGGAAGGATTTAGGGTGAGATCTTGGTGGGGTTTGGTTTTATTTAATGGGAGGTTATTTTGATTTAGTGGATGGCCACTTAACTTAGCAGTGTACAGAAAACGACATTGGATTTTGTTTATCCACTTAGTTAAAACGGGAATGGAGTACAAATCACGTGCTCCTCCTCCAAAATGGGCTATTTTAATTCCATCTACTTCGCATGCTACTTGTCGTGGTGTATGTAGCCGCAGGGGAATCGCGCCATTGAGACAGGACACGAGGACTGCATACAGCAAAGCGCAGTATAAGCAGCCGACCCATTCCTCGCCCTCGTATTTCAAATTTGTATGCTTCGTGAGTGGTAGAGAGGATTAGATACTCAAATAGAAATACATGTTAAGCTATATTCACTCAGTTGGGACAGAAACGTGAAGGCCTGAACTTAAAGTGATACATGAATTAGGTCATTGTATCGTCTAGCTTACATACACCTCTCTATTCCAATTTTTTTAAATAAATATTTATATATATGCCGTAATTTTCAGATGGAGGTGCGGAGTGGCGTATTCAGAAGATTG